TGTGAAAAAGAAAAGCTTAAAGCTATTTTGAAATCGAAATTGTCAAAGGGAAAGAAGTCAAGAAAAAGGTCTCCATCTAGAGATGAATCTAGTTCTGAGGATGATTTAGTTTTAAAATCAGATTTAAGACTGCAAAAAATTGAACATCAGAGAGTTTTAAATAAATTGAAGGTATGGGTTTTTCAATTTTGTTCTAACTAATCAAAATAATTTAAAAGATGTTACATCTTTACCTTTTTGATTTTGCTGACACATATAAAATTGATTTAACCTCTGTCAAAAACACACATGAAAGAAAAAATACTTTTTAGTATATATGAACAGTGAGTTTATTTTCCATTAGTACATTTATTTGCATTGTTTATTGTTAATGAACCAATACAGATTGATAGAAACGGGACACTTTTTAAGAAGGCGCTTTAGAGCAAAAGTAAGGTGTTAAAAAGTAACTATTGTAGTAAAGCTGAAAAACTGTAAAAAACCAATTAAAAAGTGATATCATACTGAGGAATCTGAATAAATTTTTTATATTAACTATCCATATTATTATTCATATTGTTGCTAAATTATATTATTTGAGCAACATGTATGCAAACTTTTCATTGGAAACATAAGCCAAGTTGTAGTTTTTTGAATTAAATAAGGAATATCAGGTAAATTACTTCAAAATATAAAAAGTGACAAACTCAATACGTGCATATTCAAGTTACCACTTAATATGAGGGAGTGTTGCGTAACGAGCAATTATTTCCAAGTCATGCAATAATTTGAAAAGTTGAATAGAATCTTAAATTTAGTTATTCTGTATGGACTTATTTCACTTTAATAAAATGTTTTTATGATTTAATTTTTTTTAATAAAATTCATTTGATTATTTTAGTTATAAATCATGCTATACTGAATAAATAATTATAAGTATAAAAATAAGTTATTTATCTAAGACTAAAACTGCTATTAACTATTTGTTTTTCTTCTTATTTTACTTTCAAAAATATTATCTAATTTTTTGGAGCATATTATTTAAACTACTTTCTTTTACTTTGGTGGCTGCTCATTGAAGATTTTTTTAATGTCTTTTTCCTTGACAAGATATTGCAGACCATGCTTTACTCTCTATGCTGCATATATGGCTCCTTATTCCTCTAGAGCTGTCAGCTTATTCTTATGATTTACATGTTTTATTACGCGTTGAATATATCAATGCAGACTGATATAAGACGTATTATTGTGTCAGGTGATACTTTAATAGTACATAATTATAAAGGAATTACTAATTATTTTTATAGTTAAAGGAAGAAGAGAATATTCTCCTAAAAAAGCAAAATTCTGAACTTCAAGAGTTGAATGTGAGAATGCAGAAGCAGCTGCTATCAATTTTAAGTGCAAATGGTATGTTGTATATATATATTCCAAGTTTTCTTCAATGGTTGACAATTAAGTATGAGTATTAAACACATATTTCAAATTAATAAATCAATTTAAAAAAAACCATTAAAAAAGCAAAATTCTGAACTTCAAGAGCAAGAATGCAGAAGCAGCTGCTATCAGTTTTAAGCGCAAATGGTATGTTATATATATATTCCAAGTTTTCTTCAATGGTTGACAATTAAGTATGAGTATTAAACACATATTTAAAATTAATAAATCAATTTAAAAAAAAACAGACAAATTTACAGTAAATTTTAAAAAGAGTAGAATTTTTCCAAAATTAAAAATTATTTTTATAGTATGTTAAATATATTTTATGTCTTTTGAAATGACTGACAATTAGGTATATATATATATTAGAAAAGCTTCTTAGAATTGAAAAATATTTCTTATGTTTTGAGAGTAATTGTATATTAATGTAATTATTAAAATATTTCAATGCTAAGATCATATCTCGCATCTTGAAGTTTGGGAAATATCATTAAGTTGTAATGAATAAGGTTTCTATATACCAGTAGAATTTTAAATTTGTTATTTTTATGTTATTTTATTTAATCTTATTGACTTTCAAAAAAAATTTTTATGCTCAGTTGAGTTCTTGGATAGGTGCTGTGAATGCCAAATAACATTTATAAATCACACGTTTTTCAATTACGTGCTTTAATCTAAACAGAATTTCTTAACTAACATTTAATAATTTTTTTTCTCCTTAGAGAAAACTTCAATGTCGACAGCTCCCGACTCCGATAAAGGCAGTGCTTCGGTTGTCAGACCAATTTTTGTTCTATCTATACATTGACTTTTTAGTAATTTTTTCCCCCCTGCTCAGTTTAATTCTTGGATACTATGAATGCCAAATAAGAGTAATAAATCACACATTATTCAATCATGTGTTTTAATCTGAACTAAATTTCTTTACTACAATTTAATAATTTTTTTTCTCCATAGGGAAAATTTCATTGTCGACAGCTCCCAACTGTGACAAAGGTGATGCTTCGAATGCCGGACCAAGCAGAGCTGTCATGCATTAATAAGTTTTCAACGCTAGTGGAGATTATTATTATTTTTTTTTGTCATTTTATCTACACATTGACTTTTCAGTATCTTTTTTTTTTGCATAATTAAATTCTTGGATACTATGAATGCTAAATAAATTTAATAAATCACATGTTTTTTCAATCATGTGTTTTNGCAATGCTTCGGTTGCCAAACCAAGGACTGCAATCACGCCCAAAGAAAGTATGTTCTAAATTATAAAATATTCGATTATGCATTTATACAATATAATTAATAAGTTTTCAATACCAGTATTGATTTATTATTTTATTTTGTTGGTATTTTATCTACACATTGACCTTTCAGTAATTTTTTTTCTGCTCAGTTGAGGATAATACTATGAATGCAAAATAAATTAAATAAATCACACACCTTTCAATTATGTATTCTTAACTTACTAAACTATTAATTATTAAACTTGTATAGTCTTAATTATCATTTTGTAATTTTTTTTCTTCCATAGCTCAAACTTCATTGCCAAACAGTTCGATTCCAGACGAAGCCGACGCTTCGGCTGCCGTACTAAGCTCAGGAATACCTGAAGAAAGTATGTACTGAATCATAAAATATTTGATTGTGCAATTATACAATATTGAATTATAAAATATTTTGTTCTTAAAAAATTATAAGCATCAGGATTTTGCAATTTTCTAGCATTTTTTTTCATGTGTCAGGAGAGTTTTAAAATTTTAATTAAATTTAATTAAAAAAAATAAGATTTTCAAATTTATTTAAGTTCCTCTTTATTAAACTTAAAGTTATTGAATTTAATTTCATAAAATCTGAGTTTTAATTTATTATTATGGTTTTATGATGAAAAGTTAATAATTTTATTATGATGCTATATTTCTGGAAATGCATATTTGTGTTTATGAATGTTCACAATTTTGTTATTTACCTACTTCAGGTAACTAATCTCGTGGCAAAGATGTTTATTTGCACAATGATGGCAATTTAATGATTTGGAATAATGAACAGGTAATAACTATTTAGTAGAGTAGTTAGTTATTTTTAAAAAATT